CTAACCCCTACAGCATCTGGAAAATAGCTATAACTACGCAGCTATACGTTAAGAAACTGAGTTTCTTAAATTTTTAAACTGAATTTTTTAATTGCATGGCAGTTAAGAAATAAAACTTGAAATTGAAAGGTTTTTCGAAATATCGATGTGCGAAGCATTTTTTTGAAAATGTGCTCATGCAAAACATTTTTAAAGATACAGCAAAATATGACTGAAATGTATGATCATGAACTGAAGAACGTTTCATGAGAATATCGTCACACCTTGAAGCATAGTGAATTAAATCATGAGGAATGAATTAGATTATTTCGGAAAACCTTCTCCCAAATTCTCTTATACGGAAACAGAGTTTCTGAAAAACAATTCTTCAAATGTCATTTGGAACAGATTAGGAATGGAAAAACAGTACAACCAACAGGGCATTTATAACATGACGTTCAATGCATGCGAGAGGAAATCCTGTGATGAAATCAGAAGGCATGAATGATCCTCAGTGTCTGATAATTAGGGGTATACACAGAAAGAGCTGCCAGTTATGACTTCTGCTCAAGTTTTCCTTTTGTGTAGAGTATGTGTTATCGAAAAGCGTTCTGCATTTCTCCTCGGACGCCGTTGGCGAGGTTTGATATCAAAATCTTGCACAGTATCTGGACAACGCTTCTGAATTTACATGTTCATCTTCCTTTCCATCAAGCAAAAACTGAGTGGGGTAATTCATGAATATAACTACACAGGAACGATGGAAACTGAAATGGTAAATTGCTACACTACTCTAGCGCTATGGGTGTTACCATCTTCATGGTCGTACTGCGTCAGGACAGAAAATTTTGAGATAGTGGATTTTTTGACGGACCAAACATTTCTTAGTTCAGTGGAACAACGATAGCGGCACTGTCATATTTCAATACCGCGCTCCTCTCTGGCTACGCGTATGTCTGACTTCCAGGTTTGACCTGTATGTTCATATCGATATTAACTATGAGCACTACTATTGTCATATTCCAGAATCTTTTAACATTAGACATTCTATAAACTTAATAATTCTTAAATCCAGCTTATAGGATATGACGTCTGGTTTCAGAAAATTATGTATGTTGTTACTGTATGTGACATACGAACGCAATAGGAAGTTTATTCGCAGCGTTCAGTGAAACAATTTCCTATACACTTAAAAGGTTGCAGTAGAATACTGATTGTACAACTAATAAGGATCATGTTTAAATTTTCTAAATTTGTAATCATAATAACAACGTTATAATGATACGATAATGACGGATGGCATTCAGGATAATGAATAAGAATCACCTAGTCCAGCAGTTTTAAATGGTTGATTTTTATCGAATCATTTCAATTCAAGCACAGTAGAACGGTAATGAAATGAGAAGCAAAGTTAAGATTGCAAATAAATTTCACTAGCACAACGCAGTGTGCATACAAATTATCCTGTGGCAATCAGACGCACGTGGGCTTTTTTTTTAGTGTTGATGGCATTAATAATAACGATGATAATGATGGCGATAATGGTGCTCATAGGGATGACAGTGATAATGATGACAATATCGATGATAATGATGGTTATAATAATAATAATAACAATAATAATAATAATAATAATAATAACGATAACAATGATCAAGGTCATAATAATAAAATTAGTCGAAGAACTATGTAACATGAAATATAAGCCACTAAGTAATTTAGTGTCATATTATGAATAGCCATTGTTCCTAGATTTCCATCCTATTCCCGCCTGAAGAAAGCCTCGTAATGCGATTTAACGAAAGCATTTCGTAGGTGTTCTGTAGATGAATGAAATTCATACTGAATATCGAAAAACAGAATGAAGTTCTTTATTCGCACATGATAATAGGGGATACAACAAGTGCATGGCGTATTGTAGGTGAAGCTTCATCGGAGACTTTCGATGATTTTGATTCGATTTTTTGATTTTTTTTTGAAATTGAAAAATCAATTCCACTTTTTCAATCAATTTATTCAAGCAATGTTATTAATGGTATGTTTGTTGAGTTTTTAATGTGCATGATTTAAATGACAATGTTAACAATAACAATAACAACTACAACAAGAACACCGTTGTATATGGAAGAGATCATTGAATGAACAGAAAAAGAATTACTATTATTATAAATCACAATCTAAAAATGAACAGCGAGAAACGTTCGCTCGTTCAGCTGTTGAAAAAAGCTTTAAAGATGATTCTCGACCACGTTTTATGTACTTGCTTCGAGAGTTTCATCTACTACTCATCGCCATCGCAAGATTGGCGATTCACAAGGATTGCTAGATCGATCGGATCGAACTGGATTACGATCCATTGGTTGATAGGACAGCAATCAAAGATGACTGATTACTCTGTTGAACGATCGTGGCATGATTGAGTCGTTTCGTTTGTTGGTTGTTGTTGCTTCTGCACTCAGACATGTTGCAGATATTCTGGATTGATGAACGAGAATCCCTCGAATTCGGTTTGATCGAGATTCATTAGGAAGAGTCGATCGATCGGAGTTAATTTGGGCACTTCGTGGGTGAATTCGGAATCGAAGTTTGAAACATCAGTTGCACTTTTCTGGAACAATGCGAAACGTTTCATTCAACTCGATTCGATTCAGTTCGACAGTTTCCGGCACTATTTTCAACCATTATTCAGCATGTATGCCTACATCTTATAGACCCGATTTTAAGAGAAATGAAATTATTATCATAACGAACGAACCAATTTTGGTTTGAATGGTGGCTGCACTTGACGATTTTCAATTTTATTCCAGTCAATTCGTCGGAAGAACAGATGTTCCTAATAATACAGAATTGTTTGACGTTATTTGATGAATGGTCAATGAAATAAGCAGTCTCATTGGTAAATACCGCTGCATTTTCCCCCATTCCAAAAACAACAAACAATCTCGAATTCGATTAAGTGAACAATTTGAAGATGGATTTTTATGGCAAGAAATTAGTCGGTCAACTGAATCATTTCGAAAAATCAAATGATAAACTAAAGCGTTTAGACTGTAAGAGTGAACAACTTACTTGTTCAATAAAAAAATGCAAAGATACTAATAGAATTTTGGAATGTGCCTACAACTACACTTAAAGGGTTTTGCAATAATACCCAAAGCATCGGTGGATGATGCGAATAACATGCTGTCGAAAATGGCATCAGTTTGAGCCCTCACCATAATGTCTCGATTGGTCGTTTGTCCACAACCAAGACGTTTTTGTGGGTTCTTTTGCAGAAGAGCCTTACACAGCGAAACAGATTCTTTTGACATTGACTTTGGATATTGTACGTTGTGTTCGGTTATTGCTAGAAAACACGAATATAAACTGATTCTTTGCTCGATTTTAATCGAAGCAAATGCATCTCCGACTACTTGCTGATCACTTATAAGTTGCATTATAACAACTGAAAACAGCTTACCATCACCAATTACAAATGGAGCCTCCACAAAAAATAGCCAAAAATACGTCTAGGTTGAATAAGTGAATCATTCAATGAAACAGTTACCTGTAAAGAGTTCATCCTCATCTTCGCCGTCGAACGGAGGCTGTCCAGCGAGCATTTCAAAGATCAGTACACCATACGCCCACCAATCAACTGATCTACCGTACGGTTGATATAAAATTATCTGTTAATTAATACCGAATGAATTTACGAATGAATTTTATCAATTTTCATTCAAAATTCATCAGTTGAATAACTGAAAAACGATATTCGCTTATAAGTGTAAATTTATTACGACTCATTAAGTGATGAAAACGCAATCGATACTTTTACACGCTTCACCTCTGGTGCAATATAATCAGGTGTTCCACAAAAGGTTTTCGTCGTCGCATCACCGAATATCCCCTCTTTACACATACCAAAATCAGTGATCTTAATATGACCGTTCTTTTCCAGCATTACGTTATCCAATTTCAGATCACGATAAATGATTCCTTTGGAATGAAGAAAAAATAATCCAACTGCTATTTCGGCAGCATAAAATCTAGAAATCGTCAAAATATGAATCATTCCATCAATACGAACAAAAATCATTGAAATTCCAATTCACAGTTTATATCAATTAAGATAAATTTATTCATGAGCAGAAAGCAATTACACAGCAACAGGTTCCTTGAATTTGCCAACTTGTTGTATTTGATACATCAGATCACCACCATTCACAAATTCCATTACAAAATATAAACGATCCTGCAATCAAATTATAACTGTTTTGCATTCAAAGAGTTAACTTACTCGACCAATTCCCTTATATACAGTACCAAATTTTGCGAAGTTTTTATCTAACAGTTCACTGATTAGGTTCATGTCACTGTATCACATTGTTGTCCAATTAAAAATGAAAAAAAAAGTAAAAAGCTGAGGATGTATATAAATATGGAACCATGTTAGTTTTTGGCATTACTATTCTGAAACTCTCTCATATTTTCTCAGGAAACTCTTAAAAACTTTAAAGATATAAGTAAAACTGAGGAAACTGGATAATTTTGAAGAATCGAACCATAGTTTGAAAGCATGAATTTAAGGTAACAAGGAATAGCGGCTTTTCGGGCAACGCAAGTACTCGTTTCTCGGTCATCACACACTCCACGTCGTCGTCTTGAATGATGACGTCCTTTTTCAGAATTTTTATGGCGAATAATTCTTTCGTTTTCTTATGCTCTCCGAGTAGCACCTGTAAAAGTAATTGGAAGAAGTGCATTATCTCGAAAACGAGAATAGTACAAACGAGAATCGCAACGTTAGATAATCGTATGATCCTCACAGAGCGAACTCGAGGAATCCAGTCACAATCAGTATTAACGATCCAATTTATTGCATGAAATGAGCATTGAAACACATTCTTTTATCTCCATCATTTTCGTGTGTAATCGAAAATTTATTCCACTGTGCAAGGATTTTTTTAACAACATCGAAAGTGACAGGTTTCCGCGGAATTCGAAGCGAATGAGCCACGATTGTCATTCATACCTTGCCAAATGATCCTTTTCCGAGTACGGTGATAAATGCGAAATCAGACGCTTTGATGACATCTCGTTGTTGTTGCTGTTGAAAGAGCAACTGTTGCTGTTGCAAGCTTTTTTGTGACAATTTGGCTTTCGGTTTTTCCTGAATAATGAATAATGACAAGAGTTGTTCGAAATGAACACTTGATTTTGAAATTGGAAACTGCTGGGGATATTTCGTGCAGGAGTGAAGTGTACACAGGTGAATATTTTGTTTCGGAAAATTTGTGAAACATTCAAATGCTTGCATGGAGAAAGGGATTTGCGAGAAGCTTTGGTGAGCACTTGCGAACGAATAAGTTCGACTGACTGCATCATTAAATTATGAGCTTGATAACGCACTGCTTTCGAACATAATTACAACAAGTTTCTACAATCGCCTTCCATTTCTTTCGAATATCAAAGTGCATCCATCCTAAGATATCGTTAAATGTCGAATCCAGACTAATTGTAAACGAAATGAACATCACGCAGCCGGAATAACAGATTAAATTTCGAATGAAAATGAGTAACAACCAGTGATGTACTCGAGGAGGATGAAGGGGGGGAGGTGTTGGGAGGGGAGCGCAGGAGGCGTTTACTCTCCTCCCCNCCCCCCCCCCCCCTCCCCCTCTCCCCCCCACCCCCCTCTTTGGCGATTGACTTGTTTGTCATAAAAATGAGTAATTTAGTTGAATAGTTATGAATCTAGCTACATGTATGTGTAAACGCATGAATGAATTCGATGCCTTATCATAAGAAGCGTGCAGTTCTTGCATTCGTTTACGGATTCGTTCCATTTCTTCCTCGTCCTCTGGAGGAATACCGATATTATAATATTCGCCTTCTTCCTGCAACACCAAAAATCACCGACCTTGCCAGCATAAAATTTCCATGCTCTAAATCTTTATGAACGAGTCTGTTTACAGAATAAAAAACACATCTGTGTTTGCATTGCGAAATCTTGCAGATTATCGCCTCAAAAAAAGTTTTGCCGAAGATTCACGACTTAAGATACAAAATAGAAAATTAAAAGCAAGAGTCACGCATACCGCACTCAGAAGTTTAAACCAGCCTTCAACGGGTTCTTTCATCAGTTCACTGATACCGAATGATAGGGAACCCATAAAATCGTTACGTGACGTTCGATCCCAATCCCATACTTCAACCGAAAGGCGACGATCTTTATCACCGGGCTCCAAAACGCTGACGAAACAAACAAACGAATGAAATGAGAAATTTTGGAACGAGAGCAAGATTGATACGCTTTCTGTTCACTTTTAGAATGGGTGCATGGATGGATGAATGATGCGTGTTTGTGCACAAAATTATAATAATCATAAGGTAAACAAACAACTTCAGATTACAACCGAACCGAATGGAAAAACACAAAAACGGTCATCAAGATGAAGGATCAATCACATTCAACGGTGAAGACTTATCATTCACTTAGTTGAAATGAGCTTATGAAGTGAGATGGATTAAGTGGTGCTTAATGAAAGGCGGAGATGATGAATTGTAAAAAGTTGAAAGAAGAGGAAAGACAAAACTGAGTTAAGGACATATGAGGATTAAAATATTGTTGTTTTGAAGGTTGTTTGCGGGAGACGTCGGCTTGTTAGCAATCTTGAAAAACAATCAAAAACATTGTAGGTGAAATCAAAAAAAGAACAATCAAAAAAGGACAAAAAATGAGACCGATTTTTGCAATGAAAATGTTCGCAAAAACCAACTATTGAAACTGCTCATCCCAAATCGGATTCAGCGTTGCTTTAATTGTTCGACTTTTCTTTTTCGACTTAGCCATATGATCGTCGGGTAGCAATTTCAGCTTACAGTATGGATCGGAAAGGCCGTTTGGATCCATTGGTATGAGATTACGAGCCTCTTTCACTATAAAACAGTCTTCGTTTTCCTTGTCTACATATTATGGAGTGAATGAAAAGTATAAAGCTCATGGATGGTAGCCACAAGCCCATTTGGATGCACGAGCGAGCTCTCTCCCGTCTCAGTATGCTGTCAACTTTCATCGCAACAAAAAAATATTAGCTAAAAATCACGCTAGCACTGAAAATCTATGGTACTGCACGACAAACAAAATCAGGTTCTCAGCTATAAGTGGGTAGATTTTTCATTAGAATAGGTAAAATAAAAACAATGAAAATAAGCACAGTAATGCTAATCAATGTTATTATCTATTTTCATATGAGACAAATCAAAAGATTCCTCGTGGACGATAAGCATGCAACCCACGTACTCACCATGAATATGCAAAACACCGCTTTCTACACAAATCACCAAATAAATTCGACCACGTTTCTCAGTATGATCAGTACCACACATATTTGGCACATATTTTACACATCGATGATGAACGTTTGCATCACATGATTGACATTTCATGCCCTAAACAAAAACCAACCAATGCATTCAACCGCTTAACTTCATTAATCATACTAGACGATGATCGCTCACGTGTGTAAGATTTACCAGTGCAGTTGGAGTTTTTTTAGGGAAATCGCAAGGGATATACATACTTCAAATTTTATTTTCTCAACGATCATTTGTATGATATATGCAAGTAAAATGGTTGAGTAACTATTACTTTCGGCAATTATTACATTCAGTATAGCAAAAATCAGTTGAAAATACAACAGCCGTATCGTATCGATCCAAAAAAAACAGTAAATGCAAATAGTGATTTTGCAGTGCGGTTTACCTGATGGATGAGACCATAGAGAAGAGATCCGCAATGATCACAAAAAGTTGGCGATGAATAGGTTTGTACTTTCCATTTGTGTTGTTGACGAGGGTCCTAGAACTTAACAATTACATGACATGATCAGCTATAAAATTCACGGATTTGGTAGCAGATGTGAAGCACTCACTGAATAGTTCGTTAACTGAATTTATTATCATAAATTGTTGCTGATTAAATGATGACTGAATTCAAGTTAGATACAAAAGAATTAAACAATTCGGAGAATGCTGAACACCGACTCACGTCTGTATCGACACCTCTGTCTGCACCAGGACATTGAAAATTGACGAATTCATGACATCGTTTATGTACAACCAACGTGCAAACTATAAACGGAGTTATACTTTGTTCAGTGGATGATATTTCAATTCAAGTTCGTCGAATTTTGTTACTAAACAGTTTGCTTCCTGATAATAAAGTATTCAGAAAGTTCGATCATTCCTCATACAGTGACTTCTCCTAATATCAGTATATCAAAACGAAGTTGAAAAACTGGAAGAAATGGACTTCTAAGAGGAGTAAATTCAAAAGGAATCAGTTTAGAGGCTTGAATTCTAGAGACTTAAATCATGAATGCTGCGCGTTCTCGTTGTCTTTGATGTTATTACCTTGACACTGAAATCCTTGTTTGTTGAGACCCCATAAAAAATCTTTACAGTGTGAACAAAACGTTGGTTGCTTGAAGAAACGTGCAATGAACTTATGCGATCTGAAAAAAAAAATCGTCACAAAAGCTACGTTCCAACTAAAAACAAATAAACATGGATGAATATTTGTTGGTTTTTTTAATCAGAGAAATTCAAGGTTGTAAGCATTCATCTTCATAAATCAACAGTATCTGAAGTTTTCATTAAAAATTTCTACTGATAATTACGAAATATAAAAAAAAGCAGCTGCTTTAAAAAGTAACAGTTTGCAATTATTCATTGACGATTGGATATGTTATAACACCGATTCATTCAGTAAACGGTGATTTGAGAAGAATGCTTGAGGAAGTTTTTATGAAAAATCGTTCAACAACACCTACTTTACTTCATGTACGTTCTTTTGCCTTAGCGCACCTCTCCTTACAAACGCTTTTCCTTCGATACGCTGTGCTAAATGAATTTTTATCAGATGCTTGAGAAATTGAATTCATATCCAACTGTTCAATAAAATATGAATGTTAATCGTATTATTCTCATCATTGGGATGAATTTTTTCAACTCCTTTGCAGATACCTATCTCAACATCTTTGAATTTATGCTAATAGTGGACAAAATTTATTGAATAAATAGTACGTGTATGATAGTTTCCCCGCAGTTGCAGCTGGGCGGCTTCGAAACTAATCATTATGCACATTCGACATGAATGAATGAACGAATATGACTGGGAATTTTAGAGCAAAAAAACCTTTAAATAAGACTGACCAACTTTTCACTAAAGAAAAGTTTTGAGAGTATAAATAAAAACTCTTAAGGTTGTCCCATAACAGGAGAATAATGATTTCGATAGAATAGTTTAGCTATTCGATTGCACTAAATGAAAAGTTGATCAACTGGCAGCTCAATCAGCGCTGAACTGAACATAGCGATTGAGCTCAAAATTTAGTTAAGATACAAATTCTTCGAAAATTAATGCCATTGGCACTAGACAATACCAATGGACACGACGTATGAGACAGTTTCCCATTCCGTACCATTCACTAGGTGATAAAAATTCCACATAAATAAAACAATAAAAGCATTAGTTCTCATGCTTTTGAAAAACTTTCAGCACATAAACACACAGCAAACTCTATCGTTTCATCGAAGCGATAGAAACTTAAGCCTTTTTTGGCTCGTTTGGAAGAAACGGATGAATCAAACTCCTGAAACTTCATAAGGATTGTCAATTTTCAATAACTAGCTTTAACGAGTGCTCTTTTTCATTTAGGAAGAAAAGAAAGAACTTTCAGAAAGCTTTCCCTTTACAAGAAACTAACTGCCGTTTTGCTGCTACAGACATGCAGTCGGCGCGGTTGAATGCACAATAAATATCAATGAAATTGAACTGTAAAAAACTCTAAGAAGAAAATAACGTAAACTAATACAATATAAACAACAACAGCACAACGATCACATGAATATCAAAAAAAAACAACAAAGAATTGCCTCAAACTCAAAAATAATTCTGAACATCTCTGAAGTGAAGAAAGTAGAGACGAATAACTTATGTGTTGAGATTAAGAGAAATTCACAATATAGATTCATTGTAGTTGTTCTTTGATCTATAAGATAAATAACTGAATTTGCTCACAAACGTCAACTCGTGAGAAAACTAAGTAAACTAAGCAATCGTTCAACTTTAGTACACTGATATGCGTGGCCGGTTATGTACTTTGGGATTTGTTGAATCTCACTTATAGTTGTATCAAAAGTGGATTTCCTTTCAAATAAGCGTCGCAGGTTCAACCTATACACATCAAATAAAGCAGCCCGAACATGCTTTTCACGTCGCCTCAAAGACTGACTGGTGAGAAAACAAGTTTCCCATTCAATTTTTTGATCAAAGCATTTGTCAATAATGCTCATTTGATTTTGGGCTTCAGTTGATATTATGGCAGCGTAAATGCAGCATATTAAACTTGTTTACATAAATGCGTACGCAATATGGACAAAATTCACATTTACCAACCGAAAGCTTCAGATAGTTTCCTTATTGCTAATGAAGATTCGAGCACAGGGTGACCGCCTCGAGGTGTGCTCACATCCACCGAATGACGTCTAACATCCACCTTGTGGCTAACAGCCACATCGACACTCAACTTTCGGTCAACTGATTGCGAGTGACTACTACCACAAATGGCGCTATTCATTGGCATATTCACATCACTGAACTCATCCTCGCACTTATTTTGATGTGTATTCTCGACTTCAGTGATTTTATCAGAACCACTTTTGTCTCGAATTGAACCAGAAATGTTGCTCGTTGCTGCATTAGCAATAGGATGAACAGCAGTCGTAGCAGCAGCAATAGAAGTAGCCGTTTGCATCATGGAATCCATAAATTTGATGCTGGGCACTTGGATTTTTGAAGATGGCAATTCAGAATATCAGTTCAGTGGCGGTATTAATTAATAGATAGAAGCGAAAAACAATAGTAATAAATTGAAGTTCGATGGTTTCACTGCCGATGTAGGTACATATGTGAACGATGATAATCAATTGAACGAACTACGCTCTACGGATTCACCAAAAACCAACAAGTTCATAGTCAGGTAGATAAGTGACATAAACGAACAGATAAAATTGCTCGGTGATTCAGTGAATCAGCAAATACTGATTCAAACGAAAAAGCGATCGATCGAAGTTTTTTGAACATTAAAAAACAATGAAAGGTTAGAAAACTCTTCGATAACAAAACAAATACGATGAAAGCGAAACAGAGAATGAAGTCTGATAAACGTGGACTGTGTGTAATTAAATAATCGCCATCAAACTTGAAGCTGAATTTAGTAATTAATTCATTCTTATTGTTAAGTACTACTAGTTACCGGCAAATCTGATCCACATTACCGACAAATGTCATTATCACTCTTTTTTCTTTCTCTTCTTTATCTAAAAGTTTATCCAATTAATTCCATCATTTAGTCATTTTAATCATGGTCTACGGCCTGTTGTGTCTACACGCAACATATACAAATGAATCTTGAACGATTATTCATCTCAAATGATATTCTCTGCACACTAATGCGGCTGCTTCGAGAGTGCACAACAACTGACCATATGAAAATAATTACGATGAAAATATGGAATTGTATCAGCATAATGAAACTAAGAGAGTACATATGACGACAGTGTTCGTATAAATAAATATACAGCTGATTAGCTAACTACTCAACTATAGCAGCTCAATCGTAGGTCCCATCAGCATCCACATACTTTCTCAGGCGCTGAGCAATTCATTGATCCATTCATTCAACTGGAAAATGACTGGCAAACTGAGTAACACTTATAAAATTACAATCGAGATCAGAAAAAAATATCATTTCCTTATCTATATATAGACATTATTGAACTCGTCCAATTTTCGATTAAAACGCATTTGGCCGTTTTAATTCGTAAATTAGATTCGCTCTTTTGAGTACTACGATCAAAACTTTGGCTGTAATACCATTCGCGCAACCATTTCTAAATTAGATTCGCATTTCTGAGTGCTATTCATCAACCAGCTGTTCGTATTGAAACGGTACTATTTAAAACGAAATTTTAGTACTGAACTGTAACTTATTTGTAACTCTTTCTTTCGCTCAAAGAGGTTATCAAATTTTGATTCATTCTTGGTCAGTACTAACCTTCCTCAACAATACTTCATACTAATACTTCAATATAATACGAGAGAGATCTTACCAGATTTTGAAAACAGATTGCAAACAACGAACTTGCAGTCTTGTTATTTCTTGAAACATACTTGAGAAATATATGCTTGCGTATATTCATACTACAGAAATGTTGAAGATGCAGCAATCAGTCAACAAAAAATGGATAGATGGATAAGCGCTAAAAAAACCTTAAAGTGGCGAACGATACATGAAAAGGAATGAGAAGACGGATGAACTAATGTGAAACGAAAAAAAAAAGAACGAATCGACTTATGCTTCTGATAATTCTCCTTCTCTCTCGGTCCATCTGAAGCATACGTGCCCAAAACATACTATCAATAACAGTACAATAACACTCTCCAATTGTAGTGCATACTCGTACTTTTAAATACTTTCAAACGAACACGACGAGTACTTTTACGCAGCAAACGTATTCTTCACTTAAGCATTCATTTTTCTCGAAACCAACTATATCATCAGCAGTAACATTCTCAATTTTTGAAATACAAGAAAAAGGAAAGAGATCCAAACTTTGGGATAGTCGAATGATAAAACAATCATGTATTCAGTCGTTGTTGTAAGTTAGAACTTGGGGTTTCACTAGTTAGAACGTTCCAAAGATAGAACATTTAAAAGTATCATTACATAAAGTTATAAACGTCCATTTCAAACAATTGGAACTTGGGAAAGAAATGAAATGCGTCGAAATATGAAAGGTGGATGATTTTTTTGAGCACTCAAGTTCAGTAGACAGCCATCATAATCTCAATGGAATGCGCGTGCTCGTCATCTTGCACGATTGGGAACATACTTATTATTTGGTCTTTGGCGTGCGCTCATAAAACTCTTAAGAGATTATGGGAAAGCAAATGAATATGACGATATGAAACGACTTATAAGGCTGCAAAAGAGTGCATTCATTTAATGACTTCCTAGCACAACTCTGATTAATTCAAATAACCAAATTAGTTCTTGTGATCATTGAATGTTCGGAAAAGCATACACAATCAAAAAATTATCATCATTCAACAATATTTGCAATGCAACTCGAGAAGAGGAGCAAATAAGAGTGATTATGAGCTAAATAACGCTAGAAAAAAACGAAATAAAGAAGCAAGAAAGGAAGTTGACGACATAATTATATTACCATCTCGAAAATTTAATTGCATACATGCTCTTATGTACGTACTTAGAGATAGATAGATACACATGCAAATGTAAATATCATCAATGCATATTTCATACGAACACTATCAATAAATAAATTATTGCATACAATGTAAACAGTACAAATATGCACACAAATACATGTTAGGAATATATAAAGATATTTAGTATGTGATTAAAGTGTTGCTTTAGCTAGTCGAGTGGATGAATGACGGAACCGGGTTGATGTATTTTGTGAACAGAAAAAGTCCATTTGAAGGTGACTGTGAGAAGAAAAGAAGAAGAAGAAATAGTGATGGGTTGACTGTGGAAAAGCTCATTACTGACAGCATCATCCAAATGTAATGTAAATGCAGATTTGTGACTAAATAGGGACAAGTGGTGAACTGCTGAAAACGGAAATGAGAGTGATATGAAGCAGATCACCATCACTTTGTTTTATTCACTAAGAATTGATGGACAGGAATGGCGAATAACAAATGGACAGAGAGATGGGATAAACGGATGGATGATGCTCGTGGAAGTGTCAAGTGAGACGAGGCACGAAAAAGGATAGAAGTGCGGCGGCAGCATTCAGCTTTATCATCATCAAATACAACTGAATGAAGTACATATGTAAATCAATCAAGTTTTGTCGAGTGTTAATCAAACAACTCACTTTTTGGATTGATGCATAAATAGATTGGTTGTCTGCATGAATGGGTGAATAATGTGAATGGATGAATGGGAATGGGTGGGTTGATCAGTGAATTGATGCATGCATGGATGCTAGCAATTATAGAGATGTCTTCAGCGCATCAATCAGATTCCATCCTTTTTCTTCTGGATTTATGAAATGAAGCGAATGAAATGAAACGAATGAAATGAACAAACGGCTTTTCAAAGCTGCTACCTACTTTTATCATTTGAAGAAAGAACCTCATAACTTCTTGCAAGCAAATTCAACTCAGTAACGCATTTATTCACTCAACTACCACCAAGTTCAGCAAACAGAATTGACGTAAAGCCGACATAAATACATACCAAAATAATACGACAGTCAAGTGAAACTCTTTGAGAGAATGTTCAACAGTAATTTCTCAAATAAGCGATAATAAAGAGGGTAGTAAGAATAGTGATAATAATAACAATGATAATAATTACTGATAATGATGATGATATTCAACAACAAT